GCCCTGTCCAGCAAGTGCAAACAACGCACGACGGGGGTAACGCTGGACAGGCATGCGCAATACGTGTCCCAACCACCGCAGTTGATGCAGTGAGATGAGCTCCTCGAGCGAGTGGCTTCCAAGTCCCAAGACACGCTGTCTAACTTCCACATTGCTTACGTGGTGCTGCCACCACACACGGGCAATGGACCGCAGACAGCGGTGCTCGAAGACGGATAGCCTGCGCAAGTCATCTTTACGAATGGGCCAGGTCTCGCATCCGTACAACAGTACAGCACGAACAGTTGCACAATAGACCCGCCCTTTGATGGAGAGACGAATGTCGTGGCGACACCACAAATGCCTCAGCCTAGAAAAAGCGAGGCGTGCTCTCGAGATGCGCATCGAAATCTCGTCTCCAACAGCCGCGCCAGCAGTGATGCAACTTCCCAAATAGATAAAACTCTCCACAACCTCCAGTGTCTCACCAGCAAGCGTGAGTGCAGGCAGATGCACCTGCCAGTCTTGAAGGAGAGCCTTGCATTTGGATGGCGAAAAGTACATACCGTACTTTGATGCTTCAATCGTCAAGCGGTTTAATGCAAGTTGGACGACCTGTGGATCGTCACCCAGCAAGACGATGTCATCAGCATAATCCAAATCAACAACTCGACTACCTGGGAGGAGCTCAACGCCAGCCTTCAAAGAATCGCTCAGAGCGTTCTTCAGGACATCCTCAATGGCAAAGTTGAACAGGAACGGAGAGATAGGGCATCCTTGTCGAACTCCACTGGAGTCCACAAAGGTAGGCGAAAGCATGCCATAAGCCCTAACCCTCCTCGAAGTCAGGCTATAGAGAGTGAGCGGTATGGAGACGAACTTCTCGGGGACACCGTTCCTCAGAAGGCAATGCCACAGTACTGTACGATCGACAGAATCGAAGGCTGCACGGATATCCAGGAACACAGCAATCGTTGGCCTCTGATACACATGGCGGAGCTCGAGAATCTGGCGAAGTGTGAAGATTTGATCGATGCAGCCGCGACTAGGGCGAAAACCAGCTTGTTCTCGTTGCAACGATTCGCGTGTTGGGGATAGCCTGCGAAGTATGATGGACACCAGCAGCTTGCAAACGACGGGGACTAAGCTTATTCCTCTGTAGTTGGAGCAGATTGTGCGCAGGCCCTTTTTGAAGATGGGGACGACTATCGATTCACCCCAAGATGATGGAACCTTCTCTTTCGACCAAATTTTCGAGAACAAAGCGGTGAGTTCTCGGACCAGCGATGCGCCACCATCTTTAAATAGAGCTGGGTGAAGACCATCAGGGCCGGGGGCTATATAACGCTTCATGTGCCGGAGCTCCTGCTCGATTTCCTGGGAAGAGGGAGGGTCTGTTGGGGTAGACCACTCGGCCCCAGTGCGAGCGCCAGAGGTAGCAGGTGGAGCTGGATGCCAACAAAACTGCGAGCCAAAATGTTCGGCCCATCGCTCCAACCGCCGTTGAAGATTGGTGATTAAGGTGCCATCCTCTTCGCAAATCCTTTCACTTATACCATAGCGAACACCTTCGGTGACTCGAATGAGATGGAAGAGTTTCCTGGTATTACCAGAGAGACTAGCAAACTCCATCTCCCTAGCACGTTCACACCACCAAGCTTCGCGGTCCATTTGCAGACTCCTGCGCAACTCTCGACCAAGGTATTGGCGTTCCTCACTGTTTCTGGAATCCGATGGGATCAAGCGGCGTCTGTCCATCAGCGACAAGGAGTCGGCGGAAATCCAATGTTTCGGTGGGTGACGGGTAACTCCACAAGTGTCGATACTGGCGGAAACTAACGCATCTTTGATATGCGCCCACTGCGAATCGAGATCACCGCCAATAGTTGAGCCAAGCAAAGTTGACAGTGAGGCTTGGCACCTGGTTAAAATCGCAGCGTTTTGTAGATTCGCGACGTCCGGTCGGTAGTGGGCGTGCTTAGGTGATCCTCCGAAACGCATGCAAATCTTAGCACGAACCAATGCGTGATCAGAGTCTAGAAAAGTTTACCAGTACGATCGGCAGTCCGTTACGCTTCCGCGCCATCTGTAGCTGATTGCTATGTGGTCAAGCTGGGAGCACTCTTGCGTTTGTGAGGGCGGGCGCCAGGTAGCAGTGTGTCTCCTCGAGTGTCGAAAACTAGTGCTCGAAAGGAACAAGCGATGATCAGAGCAAAGAGCAAGCAATCTGTCTCCATTGTCTGATCGACTGCCACCGAGACCAAAACTACCCCAATGTGGTGCTCGCTTGGTAGAAGGCGGCCAACCCTGGCAAGAATCACTATATCTGTCCTTTTGGAGGAACGCAGAAGTTCATGTAGTTGTTAGTAAAAGCTATCTTTAACTGCATCCGGGCTGCAGTCTGTAGGGGCGTAGGCGGAGACGACAAACAAGACACGTTTAACATCTCGACGCCTGCTTACGTTACATGAACCTCTTAGTCTGACCGCACATAGCCGACTGTCGACTGGGATCCAGTCAAGCAGAGCTGATTCAGCCCTGGCACTCAATGCAACCCCAACACCAGCTTGACCAGTGGCGGCAGATTCTGGGTCTCCGGAAAGCCGCAAGTAGTATTTGGCGTCAGAGTTTACCGGAGAGGCCATCCTGATGACGGCGCTAGAGTCTTGTAATCTGATCTCTGAAAGACAACAGATGTCTGCCGATAGCGTTTCAAGAGTACGGGCCAGACATGATTGTCGTCCGATCTGCATCCAAGTTCGAACATTAAACGCTGCGAGGATGAATGGAGAACCAGGTCGAAGAAAAGCTGGTGCTCCGGTGGAGTGAGAGGCGGTTGCGATCGGAGGACATTGAAAACCGGGAGTTTGGCTGTTGCTTCCATCAGTTGTGAGACGTGGGTCGTTTGTGGCGGTGACCGAAGAAGACATAAGAGTACATGTAGGTGAAGGACGGGAGGTGGGGTGGTCTGTGAGTGGACGTTGAGCGGTTGAGTTAGGACAGAAAAGAGGCATAGCGTAGCAGTAGTGAGCGGTGTAGTCCATGATTCGTCTGCTGCCTAAATGAAACGCAACTCCATGACTCCAACTCGGTCTACCAACTGATGTCACCGCTCCACCCACGCACCCGCTTCCATCTCCGCTTCTCTGGTGACGCCGAGTCCACCGCATCTGGGCAAGCTGGTGTTGGAATCGCCCTCAGTGCTAGAGCCGAAACTGCTTTGATTGATTGGATTCCGATCAATAGCCGCCTTTGTGCGATGAGGCTCCATGGTTCTTGTAAAGTTAGCAGACGTCGAGTCGAAAAGCGTGATCTCTGCCTACGTGCCAACTGACTGTAGCTCGGACACCGTCAAAGACCAGTTCTACCAGAACCTTCATGAGCTGCTCTTAAGGGCTCCTAAAACAGACATCATTGTTTTGGCAGGAGACTTCAACGCGCGTGTCGGCCGTCTGCTGCCATGTGAGCGCCACCTCAGGGGACCCCATGGATATGATGATGTTCGCTTAGACAACAGAGAGAGAGACTCCTCAGTATGCGTTAATCATCAGCTATTTTTCTCCAGCACCAGCTTTCGTCATCTTGGACGCCAGTACGCCACTTGGCGCCCCTATCATCAACCCAGCGCTGGTCATAGATTGACCACATAGCTATAAGCCGCAGGTGGCACGGCAACGTACGCGACTGCCGATCATTTTGGTCAACATGCGTCGTTACCGATCATGCACTGGTATGTGCGACCGTTTGCATGCGTTTCGATGGTTCGTCTAGGTCAAAACATACCGGACTGAAAACCTACAAGTTGGAGGACCCAATAGTGAAGAAGGAGTATCAACAAAGGCTTCGTGAAAATCTCGCTCTCTCTCACACTATGTTGATCAGCACTGGTCAAGTGTGCAACAAGCCTTGCTGTTGGCCGGTTTGTCCACCTGTGGCCTCGCTCGCTCCACTCCCAAAAGCTGGATCTCAGAAAGATCCTCGGAATTGCTGGATCGCCGACGGGCGGTACCCGCTGGCGCAGAGTACAACGAACATCGCCGGCCTATTACGCAACAGCTGAAAGCAAGCCTTCGCTCTGACCGTGAATCTTGGTGGTCAAAACAAGCTGATGAGATGGAAGCTGCTGCATCAGCTGGCAACTTCCGCCGTCTATTTTGCATCATCAGGGCCACCGGTTGCAATTCCCACGCTATCAGCCAGAAGATTTGTACTCTTTTTGTTCGTGCCAATTCACACCATTTTCCCACCGACTGTGTGTTGTAGTATGTCCGCAGTGTTGGCATAAATTGATGAAAATGCACCCACACGAGTGTTTAAATTTTAACTTGACGTTTCAAAACAACGGTTAGTAAGGAGGAACCCACTTTCACCCGCATCTCAGCGATCGAGGCGCCCAGCGGATTAATGAATGCCCACCTGTCTTTGGAGAAGCGGTGCGCGTTTGTGAGTTAAATGTGAACGTTAGTTAATTAAGGGAAGCACAAATGAGTTGGAATCGCAGGTCAATCATCTTAGTGATAACAACGTCGTGGCATTGATTACCGCTGTGCGAGAAGCCACATGAACAATGATCGGGTTGCACGGGATCGCTAAGGCATTAATACAGGCAGTAAGCGGTTAATCTGGTTCAAGTTTTTGCAGCAATCCGTCACTTACTCGTCGACTCCCCATTGTTTTGGTTAGGCGCTCATCTTCACCAACGTTGCAGACCTAAATCGCATGTGTATGGAATTTATTTGTCTCGGCCGGTATATTGCGGAGTATCGAACGAATTTTAGCGATTCCAGGCTGGCCGCAGTTTAGATCTCGTGTGTGTGCTCTTAATGAGATCAGCATCGGCGCATTTTTTATGTAACGTGACCTTTGGTTAAGCCAAGGACACCGTTGTAGATCATTCACTGGTTAACTACCCAATATCTATTGTGTTATCTACTTAGGCACGCACAATTCACTACTGTTGTCGTTTAGACAATACGTGTTTGTCACTTACGTGGGTCCATACTGTCACTCTTTCTACGTAGGCGGATTTCGCAGATAACAAAGAATTCATCGCCGTCGTGGTGTACAAGAATATCAGCACACGTAAAGTCTACTGTCCATATGAAGTGACTCCTTTTCGTGACTCGGCCCGCACCAACAGTCCACACTGTCTGATTCAAATGCTCCAGGATCCCGGCACCGACACGTACCATTTGGTTGTTTCTCAGTTCGAGAAAAACAACACCATCTTCTACACTCTGCGCGTATATTCCACCTCCCCGTTCGTCTTAACCAAAGTTGTGGATCCCTACAAAGTGGAAAAACAGGTAACTTGTGAAAATCGAGGTCGACCATGCGAGATTTCTTTCCGGTCAAGTCCCGCCGCTTGGCTAATTCTGTATACCACGTCATCCGTTAATATGTATAAGTTTGCAGTCCTCTCGATTTTCCATTGTCACTATGACTTCAGTCCAAGATCAAATCAAAGACATGATTAACCGAAGTTTGGATCTGACCCAGACATTATTTTTTAATCCACCGAACAGATGCCTAACCATACGTCAGTCTTCTAATTCACCGTGCCGTTTGGTTTTTATTTGTGCTCTAATCCTCTATGACATATCAGGGCATCTTGCGTTTCAGTCTGAGATTGCTTGCTTCTGACAAGTTTAAGACTATCCACCGCGTCTAGCTGCGTTTCCAGAACATCTCCTTAGCAGATGAAACTGGTCCTACGAACGAACTGTTTAATATGCAGTGCAATCCTACTTAACTCTCTTTTACTTGTTTTATATATACCATTTTCACTTTAAACTGGACATTTTTCAAACCAAAGTGGACATTTTGCAAACCAAACTGGACATTTTGCAAACCACATTGGACATTCTGCAAACCAAACTGGACATTTTGCAAACCAAACTGGACATTTTGCAAAACAAATTGGACACGTTGCAATCTAAGTAGAGACTCGCCAATTTGTTGGTAAGAAACGAGCAGTAAGACTGCTGAATGATGTTCAGAATATACATTGTGATGACGCTAATACACCGGCATTGTGTAAGCAGCGGGCTACACTGTAAAACATTTGCTTGATCGTGAGCAGCGACCGAAGTTCTGAACTACGCTCCCCTCTCCCCACTGACATTCGCCTAGTTGGTGTGCAGTGCCCATACGCATCAACCTGTGTTGGTGTGTGACAATTGGAAAATCGGACTTCCGAATCGTAATTGTGTATCAATCATTTTGGGAGTGGATTGCGATGCGCAATCTCAATGTGCACCGTTATTCTCATTAGAGAGCACCTTGTCCGATTCGGTCAATGGGACCATGTCGGATGAAGCAGGTAGGCGATGTCCCAGCTTCGCCCGTCTCTCTATTAGCTTTCGCAACTGCCACGTTATTGTATCAGCGTAGGCTGTAATGACCCCCAGCAAATCCAGTCTAGAGCTATAGCCTATTGTTGCAACATATCAACTACTGAGGAGTGGGCCGATTACACGATGTTCAGGCCACATTGTGGTCACGATAATGTAACCGAACTGCGTACGTAGCGGGTGATTGTGTAAGCCCTTCTCTTGACATGAGTGTCGTTCGCCTCGGTCAAAATCGGTGACCTATTTTCCCCTACACCCCCCCCCATAGGAATTCGTGTGTTTTGTCTGGGTGTGTGGACCGACCTATGCAGCGGTACCACTATTGGAGCCGAGCATACGATAATGATTCCACTCAACACAACTTAGCTTTATTAGCTCCGTGCCGCACGAAACGACCAAAATGAGTGACGAACAACAGGAGAGCTGGTGTCCGACGCGACGGCACTGCAGGCGAACATCATTTGCGCAAAGAGAAATTCTCACAAAACTTGTGCTGGTCGACGGCAAAACTACTCGGGAAGCCGCTGAAGTCGCCGGTGTTAACGCGAGTACGGCAAGGAACATCATTAATGCCTACAAGCGAGAAGGCTCAAATACACAGCGCACCTGCGGTGGAAACAATAGGGAGAAGCTGACTCCCAATGTATTGCAGCGCGTCGAAGAAGCGGTTGAACGGCACTCTGAGGACACGTTGGTGCAGCTGCAGATGCGCCTGAGAGAGAATGGGATAAACCTATCAGTATCCTCTGTCTCCAACACCCTCAGAAGACTGAAGATAAATCTCAAAAAGTGTCATTACGAGCTCGACCGAGTCAACGGTGCCACGACAATCGCTAGCCGACAGGCGTACGCTCTCGAGTTCTCGGCACATGCACCTTCTAACAAGGAGAAATGCATCTTCATAGATGAGAGTGGTTTCAACCTTCATCTGAGGCGAACTCAGGCTCCCTCAAGAAGAGGGACGCGCGCGAACGTCGTGTTACCCACAGTCAGAGGTCGCATGGTAACCCTGATTGTTGCAATGAATAACCAAGGCGGCATCCATTCAAAGATCATTAACGATGGCACCTGCAATGGTGCGAAGTTTTCAGCGTTCGTCGAGGAACTGGTGGCGCGTATAAGCTGCATAGTGGAGATGAACGGCGCGTGGCTGATCATGGACAATGCCAGGATCCATATGCCTGATGAGCTAAGGAGGATCCTTGGTTCGTCTTATCACCTGCAGTTCTTGCCGCCCTACTCGTACATGCCAAACCCGGTAGAACACGTCTTTTCAAAGGTGAAAGCGTCGGCGAGACGCCTGCTTATTAACCCTACACCTGAGCAGACGCTGAGCACGGTCATTCAGGACAGCGTTGGGATGGTAACGCATCAGGACTGCATGAATTGCATTCCCAATACGATGAGGAACCTAACGAAAGCGACAGCCGGACAACCCTTCGTCAACTGATCTTTGCTTTGGTTACTGCCTTATTTTTTGTTAATACACCATTTCAATTTCAAAATGTGCGTTTTCAATATTAACAGTTGGCTTAGCGTGTAAGAGCAGGACGGTCACCGAGAATTCGAGAGCGTACGCCTGTCGGCTAGCGATTGTCGTGGCACCGTTGACTCGGTCGAGCTCGTAATGACACTTTTTGAGATTTATCTTCAGTCTTCTGAGGGTGTTGGAGACAGAGGATACTGATAGGTTTATCCCATTCTCTCTCAGGCGCATCTGCAGCTGCACCAACGTGTCCTCAGAGTGCCGTTCAACCGCTTCTTCGACGCGCTGCAATACATTGGGAGTCAGCTTCTCCCTATTGTTTCCACCGCAGGTGCGCTGTGTATTTGAGCCTTCTCGCTTGTAGGCATTAATGATGTTCCTTGCCGTACTCGCGTTAACACCGGCGACTTCAGCGGCTTCCCGAGTAGTTTTGCCGTCGACCAGCACAAGTTTTGTGAGAATTTCTCTTTGCGCAAATGATGTTCGCCTGCAGTGCCGTCGCGTCGGACACCAGCTCTCCTGTTGTTCGTCACTCATTTTGGTCGTTTCGTGCGGCACGGAGCTAATAAAGCTAAGTTGTGTTGAGTGGAATCATTATCGTATGCTCGGCTCCAATAGTGGTACCGCTGCATAGGTCGGTCCACACACCCAGACAAAACACACGAATTCCTATGGGGGGGGGGTGTAGGGGAAAATAGGTCACCGATTTTGACCGAGGCGAACGACACTCATGTCAAGAGAAGGGCTTACACAATCACCCGCTACGTACGCAGTTCGGTTACATTATCGTGACCACAATGTGGCCTGAACATCGTGTAATCGGCCCACTCCTCAGTAGTTGATATGTTGCAACAATAGGCTATAGCTCTAGACTGGATTTGCTGGGGGTCATTACAGCCTACGCTGATACAATAACGTGGCAGTTGCGAAAGCTAATAGAGAGACGGGCGAAGCTGGGACATCGCCTACCTGCTTCATCCGACATGGTCCCATTGACCGAATCGGACAAGGTGCTCTCTAATGAGAATAACGGTGCACATTGAGATTGCGCATCGCAATCCACTCACAAAATGATTGATACACAATTACGATTCGGAAGTCCGATTTTCCAATTGTCGCACACCAACACAGGATGATGTGTATGGGCACTGCACACCAACTAGGCGAATGTCAATGGAGAGAGGGGAGCGTAGTTCAGAACTTCGGTCGCTGCTCACGATCAAGCAAATGTTTTACAGTGTAGCCCGCTGCTTACACAATGCCGGTGTATTAGTGTCATCACAATGTATATTCTGAACATCATTCAGCAGTCTTACTGCTCGTTTCTTACCAACAAATTGGCGAGTCTCTACTTAGATTGCAACGTGTCCAATTTGTTTTGCAAAATGTCCAGTTTGGTTTGCAAAATGTCCACTTTGGTTTGCAAAATGTCCACTTTGGTTTGCAAAATGTCCACTTTGGTTTGCAAAATGTCCACTTTGGTTTGAAAAATGTCCAGTTTAAAGTGAAAATGGTATATATATATATATATATATATATATATATATATATATATATATATATATATTCCGGATATCGGCCCCCCTCTGATCAACTATGATTGAAAGCCTAGATTCCTTTCTCTGATTTCGTGTCACCTTCACTGCGTTGCTATGGAATGCTGCTAATGAACGGTGCAGTGTAGGTACCGTTCCACTTTGTGCAACACGTTTACCTAAAAGGGAACGTGGAGCATGAATTTTGCAATCTTGGTGTACCATTTTTACAGCACTTATCTATCTTATTTCTGGCTGATAGCATCAAGTTCTTACTTCGGCCTTACGTTTATCGAAGGTAACCGATAGCCACGGGATCCAACACACAATGCAGCAATTTGTGATCACATCGGTACTATTCTAACGCCATCGTATCGTCAATCACATCAGGGGCAGTTGGATTTCAAATGGCACCCTGCTGCTCCCGGTCGAATTTTCCCATTACCTCCACTTCGTCATGCGAGGGCACCAAGGTGTTTAAGACGAATAATTTAGGAAATTGTAGATTTCTCAATTCGGGGAAATTCTTGTACGATCTGGCGCCACTTTCTCCGAGGGACCGTGAGACCTCTTACTAACCATTTGAGCTCGTTTTTATAGCAAACTCTAGTGTAATTAATTCTATTCGCAGATCACCGGACAGTGGAAGGGCATATCTGCTGGAGGATGTCCCAATCATCCAGACACCTATGACAACAATCCCTGCTTCCAGATTAATCTGAAAAACAATGAGATCGACAATCAAATCCTAATCGAAATGCGAGGACCGAAGTGAGTTTGGGTAGACACTCTTATTATACTACGACTATCAACCATGTTAGTTACGTTTGATGTTGGTTCTGCCGTCATCACCAGGTGGACTTAGGGTTCAGCAACAACCGATATCGTTTCATCTGCACCACACATTTGCTCCGTTGGTATTCCCCTGGGGATTAGATGTTGCGCACTCGCGAGCACTGCACTCCTCTGCTTTCGAACTTATTTGCGCTCATCAGATATGAATGCGCCTGGGACACGATACCTTCGGAGTGTCAATCGAAGGCTCTATTCTTAAGCTACGGAGTCCCGGCAAGAAACGCTTGTCACAAAGATTTGTGGTGATCCACAGCATGGGTCGTTTTGAAGCACACGCGACGCGCCTTTTGACAAACTTTTATTCTCGGCAACACGAGACGCCTTTACAGACATGATCATGTTATGATAACAGAGTGTGAACAAAAATCTACAAGAATACAACATGCTTGTCATAACAGTGAGTCTGTGCATGGATGTGTGTGTGTGTGTAACTTTGCATAGGTGTAGCTTGTGTTTGTAAGTGTGCTGTTGTATTTGTGACTGACAGCGTCGGCTATGTAAGATTGATGTCCGTGGATTGGATGCAATTATCCAGCTATCCAAGGGGCAGTGATTTTAGTTTGTGGCGAATCACATTCGCCACGTCACAGTGTTGATAAACGGACATTTATGGCTTTTTACAGGGAGAACACTTGCCAGGTGAAAACCCACAACTTCCTAGAACACTGCCGCCGAACTATTTGCTGGAACGGATTACACGCGAACCACCCAGCTAGCACCACGAGGAGATTGTTCGACTAGCCAGCTAGCCGGTCACTGGGACCGTACGTGAAGCAGAACTATCAAGTGTCCCCCTCACCCCGAAACACCACCCCACGACCGGTGGTTGCTAGTCTAGTAACGAAACAGCAACCTAACCGCCCAGCTTGAGGAGTAATTCAACATTCTCACGTTTCGTCGCGCTTGCAGCGAAGTTGTACCCACTGCTCGGTTGCGTGTGCTACACTTCGATAGCTGCCCGCATTGAGTATATGTGACTTGTTGTGAGCATGTTCTTACCAAGTGGTTGGTTATGAGCACCGTGACGATCTACTGGATGGTGCGAAGAACTTTGGGTCATATCGCAGAACCGTTTTCATGATGTCTGCTTAGGATAAAACACAATCATCCACATGAGATATGCACTTAGATCCATCGCGGAGCCGCGTAGTTACTGGCGGCAAGAACGTCATCCGACAACCTAGACATCTCGAGATTGCCAATTCAAACCTCTTTCAAAGGTGGAGTCGGTTGTTGTTCATTATCGGAAGGATTACACTTCGTTACTAAGTAAATCGTGGCACCTTTCAATTCGAAGATGTAGATTGTACCCCAAAGCTCAAAAGCACACTATGTTTATCAGAATCTTTTGAGGTTTGTCGCAGATAAGTAACCACTGCTTATCCGGATTAACGCTGGATGACCGTTTCACTCTATTGAGAATCGCCAGTAGCGCCCTGCTCTTTCGCGCCATCGATTTAAACGGCTTAACCCAAGGGTGCCGACCGTTACTGATTACTAGCTGTGATGTAGTATTATAACGTCTGACTGTAACTGAACCGACTCCGAACGGGAAGCAAAAACACCACCGTGCCGGACCAGCTGTATTGAAAAAGTGATAAGTTGGGCAACCGTCATGTAAAGGATCAATAGGGCAACCACATGAAAGGACATAGTCATGGATGGTGAGCGGTCTGGCTCTGAACGACTGTTGTGCGTGTGCGCAACACAATCACGTGATGATACAGTCATGAATGTCAAACTATCTAGCTGTGAAGCGCAAGTCCGTCTAACATATAGCCAAGCCCATTTTCAACTGCCGTGCAGAGAACAGGACTGCCCTTCATGAGCAGGACTTCCCTCGCTAAGTTTCAGGGGAACAATGGTATACCACACATAAAAAGGCAAGTGCTTAGCACGTCCAGTAGGATGTCCAGAGTGAAAACCATAAATTATCCAGTGGAGATTATAAGCCAACTCCGATGATCACTAGTAAAGCTAAGAAGAAACTTAGGTTCTCACTTTACCTCACTTTTATGTAGAAAGACACGTGTCTAATATATGCGGATAGGCAGCGTCATTTCCTGTCCCCAATAAGGTCTCGTTTTCCCTTCCTGTCGCCTTCACAGAGATTACGCGATCAATTGCGAATTGACGAAAATCTCCGTGACGAATCCTAACGCTCCGAACAAACTGGAGCGCAAAAGTGCCGACAGCTATCGGTGAGTTAGCATTTTTCATACGCAAGATACAATCAGTTGTTGGGTTCAAGGACTGATATTTTTCACTATTGCTCTTTTGTAGACGTGGGTACGTCGTTCTGGAACAAGCCGGCTTGTCTGGTGGTGTGTACAATTTGGTCGTATCGACCTTCTACCCGAAGCAAGAAGGGCCGTTCATTTTGGACATTAAATCTCTGCGCCAATTCACTGTGACAACTATTCGCTAGCTAACCGGTGCAGCAACGCACTCACCTCGGTCTTTCATCTTTCCCTACTTTTTGTCTACTTTGACCGCGTGATAAAGAGACAGTTCTATATCTTTCCCTAGCTATAAAAGGTGGCTTCCGGAGTTTCCATTGTATGTTTCGAGTGCCTATATTTGTGTTGTCTTTTTCCACGTGATGTAAAATTAACGCACCAAAGTTTAATGGAATACAGAAACCGAGTGACTTGGAGGTTTCCTTTTGAATTTACGTTGCAGCATGGGTTTCTGACTCACAGCCGGCCTGTAGAATGTTTTGCAATCTGACGGCGCAGGTTCGTGCCTGCGTATGGGCACGGCGACCGCTGTAGTATCCTTAACCCACGTGCGGCCGGTGGTTGTTGCGCGGCAGCGAAGCGTCGGTACTGCGTACCAGCTACTGCGGATGCCTTCCCTTTCATTTCTTTCTGGCTCTTAAACTAAGTGTAATCGAGGAGTCTTTGCTCAATCGGGTATTCAGACTGTGATGTGCCTAGGTTACACTCTCGTTATGTGAATACTGAACAGTAAACAGATAACTGTTAATCCCATACGGGGATACTGCAGGACTACTGAAGATTAACTAGTGGTATGATTCTGCTCCGCAATGTAGTTGTCACATGCTTCCTCACGTCAGTTTAGACTACGGGTGCCTCGCTAGACAGCCTAGCACTGAACCGCCTTTCCGTTTAACCACTCTGAACTGTAGCTGATTCATTTTGAGTTTCCCATAACAAACGTTTGCGTAGCTACATCTGCTCTTGGCCGATTCTGCAGTAGATCCAGCGCCACCCGAAAGCCATCTGTATGCGATTGTCGTGTTTGTCTGCAAACGTATGGCGAAATTCATTCATAGACTTTTAGGAAGTCTGTAATCGTGTAGTCAATGCAGCAGGGCGGATGCACGTGTCATTATAAAACTGACTTGTCGTGGTTAGATTACACACTGCATACCCCACTCTATTCCTTTGCGATATTGGCCTAGATCCGTGGCCGCGCCGCTCGATTTTTGCTTAATTTATCCCCTCGTACCTATAAACTCCCTCCTATGTAATGTTATATTCACGTGCATATCCTTTCGACACAGCGAATTACGCTCAGTTGCGATGTTATGGAGAATAATTTACTAATTATTTTATACAGGAGGTGCAATTTAACCAGGCGGCCCAACAAGTTCACCTTAGCGTGGTGCTTTCCTTCGTTAAGCGACATATGCAAGACATCTGAGGGACACATCCTAGGAGGCAGAGACTTAGATCATAATGGTGCAACGATCAAGAATTAGTGTAAATGACATTGATACGGCTGTGCAAGATGGTTCCGTCTACTATTGTGCGTTATGCCCGGACACTGTTTCCGGACCTGCGGCTGAAAACTGTGGGTGATAATAGCGTTTCAAAGCATCAATGTCTGAGCATTCATCTGGAGCTCCGCTTCAGGGTGAGTGTTGGGCTTGTTCCGATGCGTTTCATTTGGTGGGTTCAATAGGATCTACGGCGTATGTGAGGGCATTAACGGACACCCGCTCTGCCAGTTCTGCGTCGCCAAAATAACAATGACTCAATCAGCTGTATGACCGATTTGTCACGAGTCCTAGTTTCCCGATATCTTAGTGACTGCAACCTTTCGAAATAAGCTCACTAGGAGCCCCTTTGCCACCATTAATAACGTGTTAGTGGATTGTATCGCATGAGCAGGAGTTCGAAATCCGATCGCGGAAAAGTATGGGAACATGAAAATTTATGCTTATCCTTTATGCTAGAGATAGGAGAATGTTTTCAAAACTTGGAGACTTCACGGCCACCACACACCTTTATAAGTATCTTCAATTCAGTCAAATTATTTGACCCCGGCACCAAATCGCGGCTATTTGCATAGTTCACGGAATCGTGAGAACCATGAAGCGATCTGGGTACAGTTAGAAGCCAATGTGTTCACTGACACTTCTGTCCCTGGAGAACCACGAGGCTACGTTCCTACATCTCTGTTTTCCGGTCAACCTATTACGAGTAGCCGGATGGATCCACAAAGAAGCGCCCGCGAATAACATCAAGTCTTCGTGTAGGTTCGTCGCAGTTAGACACAGGCAGGCAGCCACCACACATCCAGGAAAGCGCTAGACGGCCGTTTCGTCCTATTGGGACTCGTCAGTGGCGCGCACCCGCCGAATCCTGCCGGATTCGAACCCATGGCTCAGTGACATAAGTCGCTGACTCGCAAGAGTAAGGTCGTGGGTTCGAATCCGGCAGGTGCGCGCTACTGACGAGTCCCAATAGGACGAAACGGCCGTCTAGCGCTTGTTTGGATGTGTGGTGGCTGTCTGCCTGTGTCGAACTGCGACGAACCTACACGAAAACCTTATAAATCCCCCTACTACTTACAAATAGCAAGTCTCTTGTGTCCGCACTGCCACACTGGACAAAGAGTCCACTTCGTCAACTTTGGTAGGCCTCCAGTATGATACGCTCAAACTAGGTGAGGCGAAAGTTCGATACCCTGTAGTAGTCTGGAGATTCTCCCAGTCTGAGTATATTGTGTAAAATACTAAATAAAATTGCCGTCTTATTATAAACAGAGATATTTCGCAGAATGTTTAATTTGTTTGTCTGGCTCAATACATGAACACGGCGCCACGGTTGGATACTACATGGCGTTCAATCGCGCAGTCCCTAGCTAGCTTCGCGTCATTTGGTGTCATATTTTTAGCCAATACATGGGATCAGCGTACGCCACAATACTCTTTCGTTTCGTAATTTCTGTGCCTCGTTTACTGGGAACAGTAGTCTGTCGGATACCTCAAGTTTGTTGGCGTGAACCGGCCACTCTCGCTACAACCCCAATAAGGAATTTTTCCGCTGAGATTTGCCGTCGATGATGCTTGAAACAGCATTGCATTGGGTAAACAAACGGGTTAGCAGAATAACTGAAAGCGCATTAGAACTACGCCGATGAGTCGTAAGTATGCTTCGTGGCGACGGGACCTTCGCTAGTCGCGGGTGGGATGGAGATACGGTAAGGTCACCTGTAAATACGCAGACTCAATGTAGGAACCTGCGGATTACGCGTCAAACTCCTGGAGGACTGCTCGACCACCAGTCGGCCCAGTTAGTTATGAAAGAGAAAACAAACTGGAACAAGTCAAATGCTTGTAATGCGATGTAAGTGGGGTGATCTAAATAAAACACAGCTACGCATATGGTCACTGAAAGTTATCTGATGTCATCCTCCTGAAACCTCCGGTTGTATCCCGGAACACGGGAGAAAACCATCTCCCAGTCGATGCAGTATAATCCAAGCACGGTAGTTCCTAATCCCCAGATCATCAAAGGCTTCCGCCTAAAGCAAATAATATATATATTGTGAAAACTACCATGCGTTATAGTATGCTTTTACAGGTAGAACGACCGATGACACACTCTTCCTAATTTGGCCCAAATCCATCATCATTTCTGGGGATTTTTTTGACTACAGTTCGAACACGCTGAAAGAAAGAGAAACATGGTCTGTGATAGAGAAACACGGTTGGACATGCTCATAAAATGACGGCCGAGAAAGAAAAGTGAGTACGATATATATGATGGGTGGCATCCGGTTCCGGATTTGCTTATCACTGCGGCCTCCATAGGACAGCCATAAGACGCGTGCGCCTACAAAGAGAACATTGGCGGCTTGCGCTGCACCACTCACAGCTCTATCCACGCCCCATATTCAGTGTAAATCCGAAGGAATAAGACCAGGAGGTTTGTGGATGGGAGCCACGTTTCATCAACGGGGCCGACCCACACGCCGGAGAAAATCCTCATTTATAACGTGATGTTGCAATTGTACACCAGCAATGCTCTAAAGACAGACAACATCAGAACGTCCTTTGCACAACTGTTGAGTAGAACTGCTCTCAAGGTGGCATTGTAGACTAGTCTACAAGGATCAAGCTTGGCCCTTCGGGGATAGGTTCAGGTCGCGTCAACGCCAGAGACGGCGAAGATTGTCAAATGCAAACGCTGGCAAGTATTCACCGGAGCGACAAACAATAAGAGATTATATATATATATATATATATATATATATATATATATATATATATATATATATATATATATATATTGATTTGGCGGCGTCCGTATCGGGATTTGCCTGTCACCGTGACCTCTATGTGGACAGCCACAAAACGCCTGCGCCTACAGAGGGACCATGAGTGGCTTGCGCTGCACCACCCACACACTCCATATCCAGTGTAAACCGGAAGGAATAAGACATGGGAGGCATGTTGATGGGAGCCACGTTTCATCAACGGAGCCGGCCCACACTCCTTCAACAAGCAGAACAGAAGCATTCCGGCCAACTCGGGAAATCATGCACACCAGACGTACACGAGGCGGTAGCTGGACCGTAGCCCGTTCCACACAGGATGGAACCACTCTTTAAGCCTAGCACCGTCCCGAGGACGGTGCACCCCGTCCCCTCCAGAAACGACCAACTGTCTCCTGGAGCCAGAAATCGAGGTGGAGGATATCAGACAGGTAGGCACTTTGTCAACATTTACATCAGGCGCAGCCACACCGGGGAACTCAAGCAACATAAACTGCTGAAATGTAAGATAACACATCACGTAGGCAAACGTACCACATACACCGCTTTATTGGCCTGGATTAGTAAATCGAATGGGAGCGTACGCATCGTACTTCTATTACGCGTGCAATAGTGCCTTCTCCTGCACCTGAGCAACCGCCCTTTTGATCAGCCCACCGAATTTGCATCCAATTAATTTGCCTTGGATTCGCAACAACTAAAATCAACAAGAGTTTATCATAAACTCACCTTCTTCATGTTCCGGTAGTTATTTTCGGTTTGCCCGAGTGCCGCTTCCTTGCACTAAGTCGGCCGTACAAAAGCGGTATGAGTATCCTCGTTGTCTATTCGGTGTACATATATTCACAGATTATATATATATATATATATATATATATATATATATATATATATATATATATATATATATATATATATATAAAATACACAATCTGTGGTACAGATATTGTGCATTCGAAGTTTGTGTTTAATCACCAGTGTTAGCGAAATATTGCTCCCAGCAAGTGGGAACATAGGTGATTAATACTGTGGTCCCTAGCTGACGTCCGAAAAGAGACCGCCTGTTGCCTCACTGGCGTGTCTGTTACGGTTGGACTACTCACGCTGGCTAAATCATGTACTTCT